TAATACTATAATCAAATTATTAACTGTATACAAAATTTAAATGTCAATGTAAACAATGTAATTCAGCCATTGTAAACTATTAACTAACGATGTTAAAGATTCTTAACCCTTAAAGGTTAACAATCTTTTTTTTGGTAGGGAGGTGTAATGGGATTACGCAATACCATATATTTTGCTCATAATAACAACCAGGAATGCGACCACACCCAAAAGTGTTTTCGACTACGAATACCACTTTCATAATCGTGAGGTCCATATCAAGGGCGACTGTACACGCGCCGCTCACTTTCAAAGGACGCCGCCACCATATATATAGGGGACAGCGAGACAGCCTGAGTTAGATGTATCCAGAGACGAGAACACCACACGTCTCGCTTAGCCGCCCAGCCATCACACACGACTTACACGGAGATTATCAACTTCGGAACGAGCTACAAATTCACTACAATCAACACTATTATTCTGCTTGTTTTGCCTGGTTTAATATATTACATTTGATTATCATACTAATTTGACTATTATTATTTATCAAATACACCAGCTTTTGGATCCCTGAAGGGCCGCATGTAACAATCTCTTCCATTCATTTTGTCTAACATAAAGCAAATTAATTATTGAAATATGTTGAAACAAATTAATTTATATAAAATGATTAAAAACAACTAAATAGTTAACACCAAAAAAAAAAAAAAAAAAAAATGATAGTAAGCTAAATATAGGTATACCTAATTAAAATAATATGGATGCATATTATTATTAGTTGATATATGTAAAAAAATGTAATGTAATTATTCTGAATAGATACTATATACTAAAGTCGATTGGAGTTTTTATCTTAAAATAAAATTATAAGTATTGGTACATAAAAATAATTTAAAATACTCTCATAAATTATCATTGTTAAAGTGTACATATTAATAATATTCTTTTAGCCATATCATATTTTGATTATTAGTGACTTTAATAATATTAACTGGGGGCCCATTTAAATCATCAACATTAAAAATACTCAAACTACTTGGTTGTGTCAAATAATTGTCGACCACATATGCTTCAAAATGTGAATGGTAATAATTTACTTTAAATTCTTCAGCAAGAATAAAACAGTTGTTTCCTTCAGAAACTATAATTTGTAAAATTTGAAAAAGATTTAATGTTTGAATCACTCTTGTGACAAAAAATCTAATTTGAATAAAGTTCCTTTGTAATCTACCTGAGTGTAACATTTAAATTGATGATTTAAAATTAAACTTTGTATAAATTGTATATGTTCATTATTTTTTATTTCATTTGTTTCATTTATAATTAAATTACTAGGAGTAGGATTCAGTAGTTGATATGCGAATTTTATTTGCATTTTTTTCCCCCAGAGTATGGTTATATTTTTACGAGAAGAGGTAGCATGTGCATATAATTTAAGCTCTTTGTGTTTAGCTTCAAATCTAAAGCACCAAAAATGTCTGGGTGGAACAGACTGCCTAATAATGGTCGGGTAATGAGTCAGTATGTGGTGTTTTGGTTTTAATGAATCACGAAATAATAAAACATATTGCCTATTATGATTTAGAATTAAATTTTTCAAACAAATAATTTTTTGTTCAGATATACTATAAGATAAAACTATGTCAATAAATTGGATTAAATTCAAAAATAATAGCCAGACTTCATCATTATCAGGAAATAAGTCCCCGACCATTTAAGAAAAAATGTGGGTAAAAGTCATCATTTCTCGGGCAGATATTTTGAGATGAAAGTTTTGCAAATGTTTTGTATTTATGGAAGGAGAAATATTTCCTATTTCTATTGGACCATAATTAAAACTACTTTTTCTTAAATTCAATGTTTCTAAAGAAAAAATACTTAACATTTTCAGTGAAGTATTTAATAATATGACACATATCATAGTGACATATTCCTTCTAATAAGTCGTGCATAACATCCACACAATAGTTTTATGTAACATGAAATGAAGGTATTTTATTTAAAATTTTTCAATTTTTTTAGTTTTTTTTTTCTATAAATATCAATAAAGTTTTATCTGTTAGGCCAAAAAGTGTAAAAATTTAATACAAGGCTCCTGATATATTGTTACAATAGAAATTGAAAAATATTAAAAATACATAGGCACAATTTTTTTTTATAAGCATTTAAACATCGAATTTTGACAAAATTATCAAAATCTCGAAAATTATCAATTATTGTAATTAATAAATTATAAAATGTTCAGTTTTTATAGCTAAGGATTGCAAATTTAAAACAAAGGTTCTCATAAATAGTTCATACTGTAACCAAAAAACTGTACAGCAGAGCGACACCCACTTGCCCACCTTTTTTCTTATATTATTATTAATTATTCCGATATCGTAAAAATTAGTTTTTTTATCATACCCAAATAGTTCGATAATTCAAGTAATACGGCTTATTGAATAGGTTTACAGCAAAACTACCTATTATAAAAATTGTAGAGACGAATTTTTTTAACAATCTTAAGAAGCCCGTTTTTCGATATTTTTATTAATTAGTTGAATAATTAATGGATAAAAAGTTAAAAACCGTGTTAGTTTACCATGTGATATTGGACGATTAGAATACGATATCAAAAAACGGATTTCTTACGATTGTTAAAAAAATTGTCCTCTACAATTTTTATAATAGGTAGTTTTGTTGTAAGTCGCTTCAATACGCCGTATTACTTGAAGAACAAAAGTAAAGTTTTTATTAGTATAAAATTCGGATACTAAAAGAAAATATAAAACCGAACCAAATTCAATAATATTTGTCACAAATATAATAATCATTTTCTTATCTGGTTATTTATAAACTATGTACAGGCGCACGGCTGCGATAGCAAACCTGTTTTGACCACGATGCGGCACTGCCGTTACGCGCGCGGGGTGATGGTAAGAACACCTAGTATCGAGCGCTGCCGCTGGCTGTAACGGGCGCAGCACATGACGAGCGTAATTAAACGTTTTTTTTTACCGAAAACATGGTTTCATACTTCCAGGAATACGGCTTATTGAAGCGTTTTACAGTATAAATACCAATTACAAAATTGTAGAGGAGAACTTTTTCTAGAAACGTAAGAAGCCCGATTTTTGATATCTTGTTCCAATCGTTCAATATCGCATGGTAAATAAACACGTTTTTTTAAACTTTTTATCAATTAATTATTTAACTAGTTAATAAAAATATCGAAAATCGGACTTCTTACGTTTCTAGAAAAAATTCTCCTCTACAATTTTTGTAATAGGTATTTATACCGTAAAACGCTTCAATAAGCCGTATTCCTGGAAGTACGAAACCATGTTTTTATGTCATATTTTGTCTACTGTGACATCCTCTTAAGAGGACGCCACACCGAAAGTGAAACGTATACAACGACCGAGAGAACGCGCTGTTAGGTGTTTTCGCGATCCGCAAGCACGCGACGTTTAAGCCACGCCCACTACTTACAGTCGGCGGCTGGCCGACGATTTTGCTCATTCGGGAGCGATGTTTATTATTTTCTCAACCTTCGTCTGTGGCGGATCGCGTAAATATAAAATGCATACGATGTACACGTTACACGTATATTGTGCCGCATTGCCGCCGTAATATTTTTAATATTCGCGCGTACTTACGCGGCCTGTATATATTGCATTTTTAGATAGGTACTTACTCATTAAAAAATATATACAATACAGTAAATAAAATCTAATTTATAACTGTAACCTAAACGAATATTACCTAGATACCTATCTAAATATTAGTTTTTTAGTAGGCTAACTAATTGAGTATATTAATTTACGTTATACTGCTACCACATAGGTATATTTTTTAAATAACTGTTTTTGGGTATTTTTCAAATATGATACAGTAGCACTTATCACAGCTATCTATTTTTATTTATAGGATCCAAACTTTCTACAACGACACGACATTATATATATTATTATATTGATATGTACATCATGTAATAGATACGAGTGTAGGTGAGATGCTGATATTGGAAATAAATCATCTAGGAAAAAAATGATATTGTATTATTGTATATATAATAGTATTATGGGTATTTAATAAACCTATGTAGGTAATAAGAAAAGTAGAAAAACACTTTTTTTTGGCTGCTTGTTCTTTTAAAATTCTCGGTGGATCGATGATGTCGGTAACTAGATGCCTCTTACCAAACTGCGGATTAATTAATTCCGGCAATAAACATTCATTATAGAACTAAATACGAGATATACAATAATATAATATGGTTAAATTTGTGAACATATATTTAAAAATTAATTAAATTAAAAATGGTTTATACTAATTAATATTATACTTACAAATGTATTTGAGACTGTATTTTTTGATACCAAAAGTTATCATCGATAGTAATACATACATTATAATACCAATTTTCTGTATAAATAAAAAAATTACATTTTTTTCTTTTGGTTACGTGCAATTGAGTCTGAACTTGGCAATAATAATTATGGTTAGTTTTTAAGCTAACATTGTTTTGTTTGTCTTTAAAACAAAAAGGAATCTGCAGAAATTTAAAATTGTTTAAAAATATTAGGTAAGGTAGGTATTAAAAATCTAAATGTATTACTTTTCCTGCGTCAATAGCATCGAATATATCAGAAAAATTCCTAGCCGAAAACGGACATTCAATTTCGATGATCGAATCTTCGCCAATGAGGCCATCTAAATAATATAATTTATTGGTTATTAATTTGGTTTTAATTATTTTAAATTAATTATAACTAATTAGGTATTGTTATTTAATAGTTTTTGCTTTTAACTACCTAGACTTGCGGCTAAATATAGAATGTTCTCATCTACACACAAACCCACAGGTGCAATTATCAAATTATATAAACTTTCAAATTTGTTTTTTGCTTCGATCTCCATTACACGTCCATATTCAATAGCCTTTATTTTTATGTTTATGCAACTATAGAGCAAGTCGTATACAATCTTTTTACAAGATGTACATTGTCGCATTTTGCATATTTTCCCTATATTCAAGGCAGTAATTCTTTTTTTCTCTCCGAATACCAAAGTTGGGATTTAGATTGATCTTTGGTTTCGTTTTCCAATTTTTCTGAAAAATGAATACAAAAGATTCATATAGCATCAATTGTATTCTATACCTAATTAAAATTTTTTACCTCGATTAGTGGTCTTTAATTCGTTAAGAAAATTATCTTTTCTTATTTTGAATTCTGCAGGAGTTAAATCGTCAACCAACTCATCTGCTAATCCGTAGTTTTCATCCGGACCACATTTTTTATTAATTTTTTTATTTTTAGAAGGGAAATAACTCTCGGCTTCGTGCATTATTACGTCTCTTTCTCGCAACATCTTTTAAGAATAATTTACTAAATTTCCCTAAAATATTTATAATGAATTATTATAAATTTATATATATTAACATTTTACCTATAATATATAAAATGACAACTCATTATACTTATTTATTTGTTATTTTTATGATATTTTATAAGATATAATTGTATTAATTGTCCAAACTAGTTATTATAAATAGGTACCTGGACTTTTTTTCATCACGTTTTTATTTATTGCTCGCAGGTATTCTTTAGAATTGAAGGACACTACTGCAGCTTCAACCCGGGTGTTGTATGCATTTCGTTGCGATAAATTTATTCTTTTTCCGCCGATGTATTTATTTATAATGCTGTTAAATTGCTCGCATATGTGGTTATCTACGTCTAAAATCAAACTTTCCGAATTTATCACTAAGCGATTAACAATATTTTTTATTTCGACCATCATTCCACAGATTTCTACACGCTGTACCCAATTTTCTTCTTCTAGAAGTCTTTTTTTACAAAAATAATCGTCACACTTTGAATGTTCACCAAAAATGTGATACGGACTATTAAATAAGTCGGCTGATAAATCTAAAAAAATATATTCATTTAGTATAATACACAAATTGTATACAAATATTAAATTTATAACATATATAGGTTTGCACATATTTATTTATTATTTATAATTAAAATATAATAAACGATTTATAAGAAACCTTTTACTAAATTTTAAAGCTTTTGGCCGAGCGGCGAGCAACAAACTAAAATAATATAACCTCGAACATTAAAAAAAATATATATATATATAATTACAATTTATGTATATATTATCTCATCAAAAACACTCCGTGTAAAAACATCGCTAAGTAAAAATAAGCACTTAAATTACAAAAGTTGTGATATCAAAAATTGGCTAAGTAATTTCATAAATTCATTAATATAAAAGTATTAAGTATTTATAACTGTTTGTATTTATTGTACCTTGTGAATTTATTCAGTGCAAATAATTGTACTTAGCTTGGCGCAGTTACTATTATTTATGTCTCTATAACTAAGAACCCAAATGTCTCGATTTCTACATAAATATTCGCATCATTTTTTTTTTTTTCTATAGTTAAACTATAGAACAATACAAATATTTAAATACATTCTTCTAGTAGCCGCCAAGCTAAGTACAATTATTTGCACTGAATAAATTCACAAGGTACAATAAATACAAACAGTTATAAATACTTATACTTTTATATTAATGAATTTATGAAATTACTTAGCCAATTTTTGATATCACAACTTTTGTAATTTAAGTGCTTATTTTTACTTAGCGATGTTTTTACACGGAGTGTTTTTGATGAGATATCACTCATTTTTTTAATTACAATTTTAGATATATGTAATTCTTTTCAAGCGATGATGAAATGTATTTGTTTGGGAGAGGGGAGGTATATTATCAGTGGCGTGGCGAACTAAAATTTTTCCAGAGGCCAGTTACAAATATCCCAAGTATTTATGCATAATAATGTATTAATGTAATATAACAAGTTATATTTCAGATCGTTATTGACTACCTATTGAGAATATCATATTCAATTTACTAGGGGACCCACTGGCTACCACCCACCCCTCTATTTAAGAAAAATTTCAGAGGCCAAGGCCTCTGAAATTACCGTTCGCCACGCCACTGTATATTATTATATAATTTAAGTTTTAATTATTGCTGGAGAATGATTATATATACGTCTTTAGCACCACGTGGCCACCGGTCGTAATAAATATTAGAATCATTGTATCTAACCCATTTATTATGAAATCGGATAATGCATGTATAATGAGCTGATGCCATTGAATTACCATGGTGGCAAATCACCGAGTGTAGTTTATACATGCTGCCATCAATATTTATTTTTTCATTTGGTAATCCATTCATGACTAAGTCGGTGATTTTTGTGGTTGAATTTGACCATAGCTGTATTTGTAAAAATATATATTTGTTGCCATTTAATATGTGTGATGTTTGTGTATGAGGGTAATATGTATGACAATTTTCACACAGAATATTATCTATCAGAACTTGTTCTGAAATTATTTCAAACATAGATTTCAATGTCACTTTAGACTTGTCGGTATGTCGGTAAATAAATCATTTAATTGTGTAATCATATCTTTCTTTGTTTTCGATTAAAATACGATTTTTCGTAACATTATTTTATCAATATCAGTTAAAGTCACTGCATTAACTCTTACTCTCCCTAAAATGTTTGCATATGTTGGGTCATTTTTTTGCCTCATATTTTGAGTTAGTTCGTCATAAGTAAATAAAGTAGCCCATAAGTTAACTGTTCCTAGTGAATTCAAGTAATTTTTGCTCTGCGTAGAATTCAATGTTATAAACGGAGATGCTTCATTTACAGGTGGAAGTTGCAATAAATCACCTAGAACTAAGATATTTATACGTCCGAACCAACCGTTATCGCTATCACTTGTGTCAAATATCTCACATAATCGAAGATGTATATAGGAAAGCGTTATGTTTGAAACCATACTTATTTCGTCAATAATAAGCAACACAACGTTTTCCATGGTATGACGAATTATTTTTAAAACATTATTAGATAGTGGTCGATACGATGGAGTATTGCCATGTTCAACTGGTAATTGTAGCAGACGATGTATCGTCATTCCCTCAATATTATAAGCTGATATTCCAGTCGGAGCAGTAATTGCGACATTTTTTTTTTACAACTGTATTAATATAAGTTTTAATCGTCTTTATTAAAAATGATTTACCAGTACCTTCAACACCTGAAACAAAATGTCTTATAGGTTGCTTATTTTTAGATGATAAACTTTCTTTAATAAAATTAAACACTCATACACAAAAGACGTAAACCCGTTGCATGGAGAGGGAAATTCAGACGGCCAGATAGTTCAACGCAGCGCCGTGACGACGGATTCCGCAACGAGTGATTTCAACCGACGAGTGGAAGGGGAAAAATGGGCGGCCAGCACAAACATCCAACGCCGCGGAACATATACATTGTGGAATTGATGAAAAAAATAGCGTTTTGCTTAATTATTATGTTAATACTTTAGTATGTAACTAAGGCTGTAATACTCCGATAAACTTTAAATGTTCACAGAATCATCTACACACCAAACTGAGCTATTTGTGAACTTTTCAAGTCAATTGGTTCATTAGTTTAGGCTACAGGGTGGTCGACATGATTTTCGTAAAATAACATTGGTTAAATACAAGTTGGTTCTCTCGTGTAATATACACCGTCGTTGCGCGCTAGTTTCTTTCTTTTTTTCCTTAGCTCTGCGCCGCGACCGCGGCGTTGGATATTGTGTCACAATAACTAACATTTTGGGGTGTTTGAATGATTTATCTGTCGACCATAAATCATAATACAGTAATACTGTGTATTTATAATTAAAATGTTTTACAAACTTTTAATTTTCTGTGCTGTTGGTACATTCTCATTTTTTCTGTGTCTTATTGCTGTCACAATAGCAGTCCGGAATCTTAATATATTTTTCAAAATAAATTGCCTTAAGTTGATAGGATAATTAGTTTTTTTTGCAATAAAAGTTAATTTTTGGATATAATTCCGTAACATGTGATTACGGCACTCGATCTTCTGCACAATATAATCAGGTCCATAGGGTAGAATTTCTTTAAGTCTTTTAGTGACACTACTGTCACCATCACCTATGAAATCAAAAGTAAATTAATATTGGTGCATAATAGTTTTTAAAATTGAATAACGTACCAATAAGCTTATTGAACTTCAATTTGTGTAGCTCTACACTTTTTAAAAAGCCCTCAGCTATTCCATCTGATTCTATACCGGTGGCTGCTTTTTTCCAGTTTAAAAAACATGTATGAATGCCTGGAGTTTCATTTTTTGTTTCAGCTCGACTACAGATAATACAAAAGCGGTTTCTGATCCCAACAAATAGCACTTTTTTAGTTTTGTATCCAATAATAGTGGCCTGTATATTTTAATATTTTAATTAAATATTAATAATAATTCATGCATATTTCAAATAAAATTTACTTATAAAATAAAAAACAAGGTACCTACTACTTAAATTTTTAAAGTTTGAAAATCATATTTTAATGGGCTTTAAATATATAACGAAAGTACAAAATATTGTATATACCACTCCGGATAAAGCGTCGTATTTAGATTTATAACTCCGTTTTGACCATTGTCCATCTGCTACAACGGTGCAAAACGGTATCCCATCATCGCCAACATCTCCTGCTTCTATTGCTAATTTTCTTTCTTCCTCTCCGGCTTTTTGTATTTCCTCCCACGCTGAGTTATGAATACTAGAGCTTAAATTTTCATGTTCTTTAAAAAAAGTGGTACTTGTCATGCACGGAATTTCCATTGCAGCTGATAATTCAGCTAGTTGTTTTTGGCCAATTCCTTGAAGATGATATATAACAATGTATAACTTTTACAACCAACGACAAAATCGAATACAACAAAAACTGTATAGACTATTTTCAATTTTTTTTTTTCAAAATTTTAGATTAATGATTTTCTAATAGTGTATAATATTTTAATTTTTTTAGACCCTTATATTTATTGGTTAGAACACTATAACATTTTGATTTTAAAATGGCAACATATAATACAAATTTTTGGGGTGGTATAAATTTTTATCGGCATTTTACAAATGATCAGTGACCTTCTCTATGACGAGGTACAGTCGAGACTCGACACTAATTATTATATATGTATATAACAAAACAATTTTTTTCGTTTTAGACCGGGAGACTAAGCTTATAAAATTAAATTTAAATTGGTAATACAATGTTTTTAATTTTTAAAATAAATAATATGTAATTTAGGGCACTTACCTTGGTTTTTTAGATCGTCTAAGTGCAAGTGTCTTAGTGACCATTTTTTTAGTCAATCGTTTACTCTTTAGCCCTTTTTTTTTATTTGCCATAATGAACAATGTAGATCTGGAAAATTATAAAAAAAAAATGATAAAAATGTTCAAAACTGATGT